TTGGTTTCCCTAAAAATGTTAGCTTTCTCAGCCTCATTCTCTCTTTTTCAGCCTCCTTTCTAAACGGGCCCCCTTGTTCTGTACTGACATGTTTTACCAGCATTTTCAGCCTCTGTTTATTCCATTTACAGCTAGGAGAGGCTGGAACTTTTACAAGGTTGCTTAGGGGTCCTTATCTTCTGTTGGAGGTTAAATGCATCACTCCTGACTCCTTCAGCATTTTGTGTGCTAACTTCTGTTAAAATGTCTTTTTTTTAGAGGTGGTGTCTTGGAACCTGAAGGGACTGTGGAAATCAAATTCCGAAAGAAGGACTTAGTGAAAACAATGAGGCGTGTGGATCCCATTTATATGGGACTGGCAGAGCGACTTGGTAAGTCTTGGTGGGTTGCTTGTGTAAGTCTTGGTGGGTTGCTCGTGTCAGCCTTACTAGGTAGACAAGACAGGAAACACAACCAGATGAGTTAATTCTACTTTATTATAAGGTTACATTAACAGAATCTTTCAAGTCTGAAAGTACCTCTCTCCCACCCTGCCCCCCCATCCCCTTTACAGCCCACAAAACTAGGGAGGGTCTCTTCTGAGCCTCTTGCCCTGCCCGCTTTCCTGCTGCAGTCTAAGCTGCCTTTTATCTGACTGTTCCCTTGGCTGTGTCTCCTTGCCCTGTCTCCCAAGGTCATTCCCACATACCATTACACTTGTGTGCTAATTAAATCCATCCAGATGTATAAATCTGATTTCAGTTCAAGGGTCTTCAGCCATCTGCATCTGGCGAATGATCATTTCTATGGTAACATCTTCTCCTGTCCTGCCTCGATATTTCTTAGAGTCAAAGCAGGTAACAATAAAATAACTTTGGCACTGAATAAGAAAGGACGATGTAAATTTGCAGACTTTTTTTAAATGCTGAGGAACAGGGTATGTGACATTTAGCAGTATATGTGTATGTGTGCATTTGACCATTTATATACTGCTTTTTCTGCTCATAAATCAAACTTATGGTGCCTAAGAAATAAAACCAGGCTTCACAACTAAATTTGAATGGGTAACAGCCACAAAAAAGATCAAGAATGGGTGAGCTTGAGGGAGGGTGGGATGGAAATAGCATATAGAATCACTGAATGTATTTATTGATTTTAAAGGATGACACTGATCAGTCAGGCAGAAGATTGTTAACACAGTGAAATTATTTTTAATGAAAGTACCTATAAAAACTGCAGATGATAAATGGCAGTGTTGGAAGGGTCAGTCCCCTGTGTACAAAAAAGAGGGGGTACCCCTTGGATTGCAACATCCGTCATCCACAAGTGTACAACTCAGAGATGTTTGCCCATGGTGAATATGGTATGTCCTCCTACAGAACCTCCAAGATGAATTCTTGGAAGACTTCCACAGATGTAATCTCCAAACAGGTCCTTTGGATCTACAAGATCCATGGCTCCCACATTTTTCTGATCTGGTCTCCAGAACTAGACCCTCCAACTGGGAGCTGCTATATTCTCATTCCCTCCAGTGACAATACAGTCCAAATACATGCTGGATAAAAACAAGAGAAAGCTTTTCCTACCGCCTGACTTGGTTGCACAGAGACCTCAAAGATTAGGAAATAGCATTCTTCCTGTTCCTTTACTGAGTGTTGTTCTTCAACTAATTTTTTTCATTTGTTTAGACTGGGTTTGGCATTTTTATCCACCTGTCAAGTCCTTCCCAAGGACCTGGGATAGGCAGATGTTGTCTGAGGGTGTTAGAGGTATCGTCGCAGGACATAAGCTGTTCCAAGTAAAGCTGCCTTTTGCAATTGACTAGTGGTGATTTTGTCAATGCTGATGGTCTTCAAGTGGTGCTCCAGATGTTTTGGGATTACCCCCAAGGCGCCTATAACTATTGGGACTATCTTTGCTTTCTTTTGCCACTACTTCTATTTTCTACCTTTTACTTCTATTTGAAGGTCTTTGTATTTTGTGATTTTCCCCAGTTCTTTCTCTTCTATTCTGCTGTCTCCAGGTATTGCAATGTCCACTATCCAGGCTTTTTTATTTTTCTTATAAACAATTCTTAAGTTGGGGTATTATTATTATTATGGCTGGTTGCACAGTCAGACAGATGTTTAGACTGGATTTGGCATTTTTATCCACCTATCAAGTCCTTCCCAAGTTGTGTTCAATAGTGTTAAAGGTATCGTCGCAGGATGTAAGGTGTTCCAAGTTATCATTTTTATTATTATTTAGATATATTATAGCCACCACCCCAAAAGAATCTGGGTGGCTTACAACAGGAAAATATATAATTAAAATTCTTAAAAACCTTACCACAAAACATAACACAACAGCCTGGACTAAAGAGCCATAAACAGCCATTGCTGTTCGTCACCGAAGACAAATTCCTTGTATATATTTTATACTTGGTCATTAAAGTATTTTGTATCTTTGTATCTTTTGTATAACATAAAATACACACACACACACACACACACACACACACACACATGCCAACTGGTGCTCCACAGGCACTCTAACCCCAGGCCTGGGAACAGAGCCAAGGGCCCTCTGGAAGCCCAGGAGAGCGGGTATCATATATATCTCTGGGGGGATGCTATTCCAGAGAGCAGGGGCCATAGCAGAGAAGGCACTGCAATTTCTAGAGAGGATCAGTCTGCAATGTGCATAATAATAATATAAAAGTAATTGGTGCTACTATTACACTTCTTTTCAGTTATTCAAATATTCCCTGTTCAAACAGCCCCATGAAGTAGGGCAGGATTATGTATTCCCCTTTTCCAGGTGGGGAGATTGAAAGACTATCACTTGTTACAGCTCATGCTTTTGAGTGCCCTTGAATCAAAGTATGAATTTTGCTATGCGGTATTTTCTCTTTGGAATCTGGCCGTACAGTGTTGGTTTTCCTCGAGGCGGCTTTGAGCTTTCTGGTAAGGCAGCCTAGAACATTATTGACCTTAGATAGGTAAGGAACCTAAGTCTTCTTAATTTACATTTCGGGAAGACTCATCTGGAGGATAATTAATGGCAGGATTTCACCCATCACTCAGCCCAGAATCACCTGTTGGCATTCAAGTTTGAGTTTGCTTTTATTCCAAACATTCCTACACTGGAGTAATCTCAAGATCCATCTAGTCTAGCATATCTGTGGCCGAAGAAGGCTCCAGTGGTGGAGATTCCCACTGCTTCTTGGTCACCCCTCACTTTCTGGAGATAAAGGGTTGGTCAGTCCCTCCTACCTTAGTGAGCTCTAGCAGCTTGAATCAATCTAAGCAGCCGAGAGTTTCTCTGCTTATTTACCAGAATGCATTGACTTGCTCCCTCTGTGGAATTATGGGAAATTTAAAGGACAGCTCCTAGTTCAAGCCCCTTTGTTCAAAGAGGGGTCCCAGTTTGGCAGTGGCATGATTTACCAGTTCCCCAGAGTTAGCTGATATTATAATGGGCAATATTATTGAGTAATAAACCTCTCTTTGAATGTTGAGTTTGGCTGTCCAGCTAAAAAAAATCCGCCATCATGTAATTTGCAGCAAAATAACTTGAAAAATCGATTCGCGTCCTAGAAGGCTGCTGCCGGCTGTACTGGCTGAAATGGAATCTGAAAGAAGCGTTTTGTGGCAAAGAAGTGAAGTTGGCATTGCCATTCAGGAAGAAGAGCCCCATTTGCTTTTCTATCCTGCAGCTGCAGTGGGTGGTGGGGAATGAAGATCCTCATGTTATTCCTTCCCTGTAACTCATACGGAAGAGAACGTCCAAAACACTAAACCTGCACCCCTTTTCCCATTCTTTTCTGGTTCAGTTCTTGTTGCAGGACTACTCTTAAATCCTTCCTCCCCCCCCACCGTTCATTTCTGCAAATGGCATAATTCCCACATGAAGCTTAAAAGATAGATTGCTGTCAAAACAAAGCTGGCGTTAGGTTTCAGATCGTTTTTAAGAGCGTGGGGTGAGTGTGTGTTTTAATTCCTGTGAACTCCAATCTTCCTCCAAACAAGGTAATGAGTCCTGTGCAAACCTTAATTAAAACAGCAGTGACACCAGAGGCGAACCCTTTCACACCCCTCCATAGCGACCGAGTGCTTTAAAAGCTTCCGTCACCAGGAAATATCTCGCTTAGATGGATCATAATTGGTCTCAAGGTTGGGCAATCGGTGGCACGGGTTCCCCCCCCAACCCACCCACCCTCTGCAATAGGCAGGAAGAACCAAGATCGCAGGACATTGCTGATTGCATAATCTCTCTCTTTCTCTCTCTCTCTCTCTTTCTCTCTCTCTCTCTGCTTTTGCTGTGTTTTTTTTTTCTTTCTGGCCAATTTAAAATTTGTCAAAGCCGGTCGTCTTCTGGATCACTGCCCTTTGATATTTTGTGCACTCCATTTGCCACAAACAAGCCGCAGGGCCGTGGTTCATGCTGACTCCAGCAGAAGTGAAGAACGTTCCATTTATCTTGCCCTGCCCGCTGCATGCTTGTTCATTAGCTGGGGGTTCACTGCCTCTGTTAACCCCTGGATGACTGCTATCATTCCCACCAAACGGCGGTTTTCGTGGCAAGAGAGAATGCCGCGTCCCCCAGCTGCTGGTGGAAGGTGGAAGGTTAGGGGTGTGGAGGGGTGTGTGTGGAGGGGGCCAATTTCAGAGCAGAGTTGCGTTTTCATTCAAAACTCGGTTTTTCAATTGGCCCTGGTTGGGAAGATATTGAATAATGTGACACTGATCTGCTAATTATCCATTTTCAAGTGCCCTAACTGAAATCTTCATTCGTTTTGTGTTTATTACAATGTCACTCAGTCTTACAACGTGCGGAGCCTCGGCATAAGCAGGAGAGGGACACCGCAGGGTGGAGGACAGCCTTTGCCTTGGCTGAAGGAGGGGTAAATCTTTCCCTGAAGCTGCTCTGCTTTTAAGGAAAGATGTGACTTTTGGTTTGCTCGGTTGGTTGGCAGAAATGAGTTAACCGGAAAAATGTGGGGAAGGGAAAAAATGGAGCTAACCTTGAGAAACACACTTCTAACTGCGGCTTTAATTTAATACAAGCCAGTGGAATGCCTTGCTACTGGGTACCATGTTATCTGGCACATATAGGTTAAAGGGTAGAATATTTCTAACATAAACCGTTGGTTCTCACAGAATCTGCTCTTTCTTTATAGGTAGATGCTTCAGGGCCTTGGTGACTCATTTACAGGGACACTGGGAAGGTGAAAAACAAGTTGACCCAGGTTATTGTTCTCTGCTAGGTTGGTTGGTGTCATAGTTTGAGAGCCATCATGGCAAATATCAAGGGCCTTCTTAACCCTGGTTCTTCTTTCTGCTGCCAAGAGGTATCTTGTACAGACTCATGAAATTGGATTCAGGGATGTGCTTTTGCTTGGATTTTGCTT